GAAGGATCCTTTAAAAAAGCAATTTGGAAACAACAGGCCCACATCAATGTTCAACAACAGAACCGCTGCTGTGGAGGTCATGAGCCCCTCTCTGCTCGCTTGAGAGAGCACAAGTGAAGTCAGGGGATCCCTACGTTTTTCTTGAATTTAGTAAACAAAAAGGTAAAGTGAACAATTTCCTTAGCAAGGAAAGAAGCAAGCAAGAAGTTATTCTAGGAGGACGCTAGGCTCGGAGGGACACTGTGACAGATCTGGTGTCATAACCTGCTTCCCAGATAGTTCCCAGTGATTCCTGCCTCCTGGTCGTCACACCCTTGGGTAATAACCCTTCCCTTGAATGTGGAACAAATCCAAGGACTTGCTTCTTATGAATAAAATACGGGGGAAATGATGGAATGGCACTTCAGTATTCAGTTTAAAGCTGGCACGTCTGTCTTGCACTTTCTCTTTCTGGCTATTCTCAGCTTGCTAGTTCTTGTGACGTAAGCTGCCATGTTTGGAGCATGGAAGTGAAGGCAGCTAACGGCCGTCAAGGAACTAGAGCCTCAGTCCAGCAACTCACCGAGAACGTGCCAACAACCATATGAGTGAGCTTAGAAATGGATCTGTCCTTGGCTCACACCATGGTTACAGCCCCCGAGGGCTCCTGTGGCAGAAGACCCACCTCAGTCATGCCTGGACTCCTGACTCTCAGAAACTATGACATTTAATAAACATTTGCTGTTTGAAGCCACTAGGTGGCTGTTACATGACATTGTAACAGACATGTAACAGACATGACATCTGTTACATGAGGTTGGATAACCAATGCGGCCGCTCAGCTCTAGACTATGGAGAGTACTCACCTGAGGTGTGATTCCAGCTTTACAGTCTTCAGGAATGACGAGCACCCACAGCTGCATACTTGAGTAAGGAGTGAGACATTGCAAAGTGCGAAACCTCTCTGAACACCTCTAGCAGGAAAAAACGCCAACAACCGCAAAACATTACTGCCGCGACGGCGTAAAAGAAAGAACATATTGGCACAGGCTGTGCATTGAGAGCGTCCTTTATACACAGTCGAGCGAATTATCTAATTTCTCTGGGATTCCGTCTCTTCGTGGAGAAGATGGCGCCGGACTCAGGCTAAGTTCTTGCTAGACTTAGCAAGAACTGCAAGCTTTCTAAGACACTGCTTTGAGGAACTCAAGAGGGCCCCACAGCGAAAGCTCTTTCTCATCCGCTGGAAAGAGTGTCACTGGGAATTTGTTCCTTAACACTTCTAGGGGCTGTCCCTGAAATGATTACTTTAGCAGAGAAATTTTGACTGGTGAGGACAGAGGAAATTCTCCAGTGACTTCTAAGAATAGTGCGGAGAGTTACGACCCTGTGTTGTGGTTTTAGTGGCGGCCACAAAAGGAAGTGTGGTTGATTCCACCATTTTGACGACCTGGTAGGCTTCCTCCTTTCTGATGTATGTGATCTACACAATCAGCCCCATCTCCCCTCTCACCTTGATCACAAGGGAGCTGGAGCAAACTCCCATTCAGTCATAGCTACTGTATTAAATGTTACGGTTCCTGTATTTGTATTCTTTTTCCCTTTCCTCATTTTTATACTTCTAGTTTATCACATGCTCTTTGTTGCAGGCCAGCTCAAATCATTGCCAGAAAACGGGCTTTAATATATAGAACATACACAAATATACATGTCTGACTCCCCCTACCCCCACCAATTGCAATGTTACAAACAGAAATGCAAATCTGGGAATATTCTTCTATCTTGATTAGTAATTTTCAAAATGTAAGGTCATTTTGGCTTCCGTGGAAGCAAAGATGTAAATTAGCAGAGCAACCGGTAAAATAGGATAAATCAGAAAAAGTAAAGACAGGGGTGCCTGGGTGGCTCAGTGGGTTAAGCCTCTGCCTTCGGCTCAGGTCATGATCCCAGGGTCCTTGGATCGAGCCCCGCATGGGGCTCCCTGCTCAGCGGGGAGCCTGCTTCCTCCTCTCTCTCTCTGCCTACTGTGATCTCTCTCTGTCAAATAAATAAATAAAATCTTAAAAAAAAAAAAAGTAAAGACAAACACAAATTGCAACAATATTTGTACCGTTTTTATTTGTAAAAATAACCATCTGAATGCATTTCCATAGTATATTACAGTTAAGTACTTCATTACATTATTAGCATTCAGTAGTTGAAAAAGTATTAAACTGTGCTTGAAAAGATTCAGATTGGTTCAAAGTCATTCACTGAACTAAAAGTCATTTCCCTCATTTTTACAGTCATGACATTTACCAGAGTCATTCAACTCCAATTTACATAAGCAAACATTACAGACAAAATCCCACTGAAAGCATCAAACAGTATTTTATGCTGTTACAAATATGTTATGCAAAATATAACACTGGCACCAGATTTGTATCATCGTGCTTTGCAAAGATATATTGCACATGCTAAAGCATAAAATATGTAGACAAAACTACCAAACAAAAGGTATTTGCATTGAATTTTTAGATCACTGCATAAGAAACGCATAGAATTACATTTTTACACACACTCAGATTGTCACTAACTTAAAACGCTTTTCCCCTCTAACATTGACCTATGGTTTACAGTTTTGTAAGAAGAAAGCATTTTAGCACTGCAAAATTAAACATAATTCCTATAGAAAACTTCAGCATTTTCATTTTCATTTCTAAGCAGGTAAGGGGAAAGAGGAAAAAGACACTTTATACATTCAAAGAAAGGCTGAAATGAAAACTCACTGGTATTATATTGCTCTGATAACACTCAAAGGAAAAAATACAAAACATTTCACAGAACATCTTCAGAATATACAAATATAAAAAGGCACTCTAACTTCATATTACAAGACAAAAAAAAAGGGATGAGTTCTTCAACCAACACAACAGATAAGCAAACCAGGTTGCTCAACAGGACGAATAGTGCAGCAGATCCGTTTGATGTTCTTGTTCTAATTTCATAATAAAATAAAAAAAAATCAAGCAGCTGTTGACTGCCTAAAGTACCAAAACATACTACAGTGCCCTTTTAGTAGTGATAAATAGAAATCCCCTGAGTTTTTTACTGTAGAATCATAGCAGATTTTAGGCAATTTGGAGATAGTAATGGATTTACCAAGGACAGGCAGACACGGCGAATAGGTAAGTGCGATGAAAACGTGATCCCTGTGAATATGGTTGAAATACAGACTAAAAATAACACAGTCAGGTAAAAAGCACTAAACAACCAAGACTTGGTTAAAAGCACAAAGCTCTGTGTGTGTGTGTGTGTGTGTGTTTTGCTTAGAAAGCTACATTGCAAATCTAGTTCTATTTCTAAGAGATGTACTCAAAAACACAGAACTCATAGTTTTTGAAGTCACTTCCTAAAGAAAAAAAATTTGGTCTCGGGGAATGGAGAAACAGTGAGAGAGTGGGAGAGAGATTTGTTTCCATGGGCAATTCACGGCGAGCGTGAGTTCATTTTGTTCCTTTGTCCTCCTTCTTTCTATCCGTGAGAGAGTGGGGAAAAGTCAAAATGCAGCTATGTGGAGAGAAATGTCCCCAGGCCGGTACTGCTTTGCTGCCACCTTCCTTGTTCTCTGTGCTACTCTACAGGGAAAACGTGAATGCTGCTTCACCATTACGAGCGGGCATTTCCTTTCCTGCTTTAAACGCCAATGCACCAAGATTTCCATTCACTTCTAGAAAAAGACACCACAGTATATCGTGCTTTTTTTAGCATTGGAGCTCCCTTACTTTTCAGTGTTTTGGTAAAGATAAGGTCGTTATTGCTCATTAGCAATTTATCTACTTTTCAAAAACACGTCTTCTCTAAACGAACAAAAAGGACAGAGGAAGGAGGGGGACCACAACACCAAAACATGAAAACACAATGTTGGTGGTGTCGAAAACTTCCCGGGAAATTATTACCAATTCTGTAAGTCCTCTGAACAAGTTCTCATTTGTGAAGAATCAACCCAAAATGAGTTTTGCATTGAGTCAGGATATTAAAAGAGTAAGAGTAAAGTCTTTTATGATTAGATGAAAAATAGAATACGGTGTGTGTATTTGATCCAGATATGCTAGAACACTGTTTTAAAAATATCTCACATACATTAGAAAATAGAAATTTCCAGGGTTGAAAATGGAACTGACTATAAAATGTCAGCGTCCTGACAACACGTTTCTCTCCCGTTTCTTCCTCAAGTGGAAAATAGCACGTGAGCTGGTGATTTGTATTTCCTCTCCTGGTTACATGTGCTCACACACTGACATCATTTCCCATTAGGTTACTGGGACCACGTGAGATTTTCAGTGTGTTCAGAGTAATTTCCATAAATTCCTTTGGGCCACCTTTGTGCATATGACCCACCACACACCTCAGTTCTCGTCTTGCAGAAGAGCATAAGGATGGCAGTGTCTCCCAAACTCTCCAGGCTGGCTACAGACTGGGGCTGAGCAATGGAGGCTGTACCCCTCTCCAACCGATGTGGAAGAGCCCGAGGAGACCTCAGCAGTGGAAATGCTGGGCTTGGCCCCAGGCCGGCCGGCTAGCCCAGCGAGGGTCCTGCGTGCTTTCCTGCTTTTGTGTTATTCCAAGTAAGACACGCAGCGATTAAAGCAGAGAACAACCAGTGGATGTTTCCTCGGCCTTTGTTTCATTTCAAATAAATATAAACACATTTACATCAAAAGTATATGAACATTTTTCTCTAGTTTGGCAAAAAAATAAACCTTGGTCAACAGGTCACCAGTTACAAATGTTAAGCCACCAACCAGAAATCTGTGTCGTAAGAAATATAAAACACAACAAAGACTGTTACACAAAAAGATTACATTTTAACTCCATAGAAAAGCTACTTCAGTTCTCACTTGCATTTTGAAGGAAAGCAATTTAAATTCTTCTGTTTTAGACTGAAGCAATTTGGTCCTCATGTACAGCTGGTTGATGAACTACAGACATGTATATATATATATATATATATATATATATATACATATGCATATACATATGTGTGCATGTGTATGTGCATAATGCTTAAAGAGTCTCATTCTTCTTTTTGTACAGCTATTCCAGGTGCAGAACGGGGTCCATTTGACCTAGAAGCTTTGGCAGAGGGAGCAGACACAGTATTCACTATGTTGATTCGATCATCAAGCAACTATCAAGTGGCTTTAATTTCCACATCACCCATTTCTACCTTCTGTTTTGTACCTTGTTTCCCTTTGTCGTCACCCTTCCACTCACTTGGTATGACCTTGACTGAGAAGCTCATTTAATACTTTACGACTGATAAGCAATGCTGATGGTTCTGACCTTTTTAAAAAGCTAGCATTCTGATTTAAAGGATGAACTAACAAAAAAATAAATAAAAGGTAGCCACATATTAAATCTGCGTATGTCTCAAAGTTCTGGTGCAATACAATTTTTCACCTGAAATGTTATTAGACAGATTTGGGTTCAATCAGGCAGTGGAAAATTAGTCCCAGGCTCGTTACAGGGAGTCCTGGGGGCTGTATTTGTGTTAAAAGAAAAAAGCAACTTAAATTTTTGGTGAATTTTTCCATTCATCTGGCAACTTTAATAAAAATCCTTGGAAAGAAGTTCTTGCTATAGAGAGGATATGCATAATTGGACTCCCTTAAAAAGATTATTACAGGCATCATTTCTGAAGATGAACACCTCTAGCTTTGGCTTCTAGTGAGGAAGTAAACATCAAAGTGAGAAGAGGTTTGAGGCAATTCCTACCTTCTCTTTCCCTCCCCTCAGGGGACACAAATGTCACATTGATATGCTTCTGAGAACTCCCTGCTGAGTGAGTAAATGAAAAAAAAATTCTTTCTAGAGAACCATTCCCCCTCAATTGCATTATGCCAAAAGAAAAAGAATCAAATGCATTTTTTACTTAAAATGTCTTACTTAAAATGAGAGGTAGACTTGCACAGAAGTAGCTTAGATCTAAGGAAAACATGAAAACACAAATAAAAATCAGGGCCCATTTCTGTGAGTGCCTTGCCCTACAGCCTAGCTGCCCTCCCTGGTTTTGATTAATTCCTTTTCTACTGGCTTCTGGAAGCCCAGGCCCATAATAATACTCGAGCACAACATAAGCCTGGAATTCATGTTTCTTTCCCTTCTTCCAATATAGGTGATCAAGGAAAAGCTTCTACAGTCCAAAGTCAAAACGTTTCGGAATCAGAGTCATTTTCATTGTACCCATCCTCTGAGCCTACGTTGTTACTGCACAGGCTAACCATGCTACCCAGATTGGAGAGGGTCGTCCTGCTCAAATTGTCTTTTTTAAAACAAACGAAGTTGACAGCCGTCATTGTACTGGAAGGAGAAAAAGGCATCATGGTAGCCAAAATGAGGGCCAGGCAGTCAGCCACGTCTTTGTTAGGAGCGCAAGCCAGGGCCGGGGTATGACCTGGGCGTAAATGCAGACAAGGCAGTGGTTAGTCCAGGAAATCCAAAGGCGGCGTGAGCATTCCACAGTACATCTCATACGACCTCACACGCGGAGATGTATGTTGAGTTAGAAATCATGCCAGGCAAAAAGAGGAGTTACTTCCCACAAGTCATGCTAGGGGTCAGGCTAGAGGGAACTGGGAGGGGGAGACATTTTATGAGGGGGACTTGGTTTTTCCGTTTACATGACAACAAGCACTATGTTATCCGAAGTTAGGCAGAACTCTAGTCTTCATCTAATGAACAGAAACACAAGGGGGCAGGGGTGGGACCCAATTACACACACACACAAACAAATGACACCCCCCCCCCAAACAAAAACAAAAACAAAAACAAAAAAGACAGCACCAGGACAACTACAAAGGTGTTTCCACTTGAGAGCACACGCACACCATGGCACACCATGCGCCTCAGGCTTGGGCCGGAGCACTCTCATTCTGAGAACAATGACTTTCATAGTAGGTAATTGTGTGTCGGACTAGAAAACATTGAAAATCCCAAGTCTGCAAATGCGACTAATGCAGTTTTCTTGCTTTACATGTGTTTACATAAAGTATGTACCCATGAACTCGTTCTAGGAAAATGGAATCATTGGAGCAGATCAGACAGGAAAGCACTGGCTGTTTGTGATTTAAAACTTACTATCATTTAAGAGAAATTTAACAGAATTTTTAAAAATAGCAACACCAACCAACCAAAGTCGCCCAGCAATGACTGGTGTGGGAAAATGGCTGTGGAGTCCTGTCACTCTGCACCATTTAGACCTGATGGGTCTCATCCGGAAGAGAAAACCAACTTAACACGTGCAGGGGGAGGTAGATACATTCTGTGACTTAATTACCGCCCTCATCCAACCTTTATTCTACTGACCTGAAAGGGTCAGCTTATGCCCTCTGCCCACAGATTTCCTATTACCGCTCCCTTATTTATGCAGAGCTAGTGGCTCAATAAAACTCCACATTTTGTCAACTTCTATCAACATTGGAGAGTTTCTGCCCCTCCCCCAGCCCCCAACAGATCGTTCCTCTCTGCAGCATGAAACCAAGTAAGAACAGACAGGAATCTTAACATTCCATCCCACGGAAGTCACGGATGAGTAAAGGATTTATGAGTGTCGTGCTGGACAAAACTGCCTCAAACTGTTCCCAGGCCGCTGGGATGCAAGTGAGCTCCAGAAAGGCCTCAGTTCCACTGACCCAGGGCTCTCGTGCCTAAGGTTGCTGTTGACAGGGGAAGCCTCAGATGCAGCAGGCTTACCACGGAGAAAGACACTACTGATTTCTTTTGAGCTCTCTGGGCCATTTTGAAGAAAAAACTGTGTACTTCTGCATGCCAACCCTAAGATATATAATAGTGATAAGACGGCGAGGGCAAGGGAGGAGGGACAACCGAGGAGATGAGGCAATAGGGAACTTTCTGCACCTCCTAGATGAGTCAGGTTGGGGACAGAGAGGGGTACATGCTAGGATAAACGGGGCTGCAAAACAAAACTAGTAGGAATTAGCTAATGATGTCATATGGCTAATGCTTACTTCTGAGAAACAGGCATGGGCTGCTAGTTCCAATCCCTGTAATAAGCAGTTAATTGAGTTGTGTTAATGATAATACTTTAATCAAATGCCACAATTAATGACACATTGAAAAAATTACGTCCTTCATAAATATCCAGAAATTCGTCTTTCGCTCCCCATGGTTAATAGGTATTGTGCTCAAAATGGTAGTTTCACATAATTCTGTTATTCATTCACTTTTCAAGGAAGCAGAGTAGAGAGCTTCTGTTGAGTTAGTTCATTTAGAAAAGGAATGTTACATAGATCAGGAGAAGCTTTCAAGCCTAGAAAGTCACTCAAAAATTGTATTCATGTTCCCCAAATATCCTTACTGAGAATATGAGTTTTGATCTGTTCTTTAAAGAGAAAAAAAAAGTTTGATCTCAGAATGAACCGAAATACAAAGACCTAGGTTTTTCTTGGAGCCCTTGAGCATGCACTAAGGACATGTGTGGTCTCTAACTCTCCAGCGCACGCACTTAGAATTCTGAATGCCCGTCTGTCTGCCAGGTTTTCAGTGTGTCCAAAAGGGCCGAGCCGCCACGCTGAGGGGTTAGAGAGGAGCCGCTGGTGTCGCATGCAGAATGGAAGGCGCCGGTGGGCTGCGCGCGGGCCGCGTGTTTTACGAAGACAGACAGGACAGACTATCCCTGTTGGATGTCTCACACACAGAAACTGCCAAGGGGGAGAGAATTCTTACTGCCTTTTTAATGAGCACCTATCATCCTCACCTCCCCCGGCTTCACAGCACAGGGAAGGCACCTGCGGTAACTGCTTACCGTTCCCACTTACCGTTTTCATCCACAGCGAGTACACAGGCCCCTTTGGCCAACAGCTCCTCTACCACCACCTTCAAGCCGTTTCGCGCAGCCACGTGGAGGGGTCTGAAAGAAGACAGCAGCCAACGTCAACTGGGATATGAATTTGTGTGAGAATGTGTCATTGTGGAGAGCTGCATTGCAAAAAGGAAGAAAATGCTTAAGAAAATACTTAATAAACATAAATATATATAAATATAAGATATATTTATATATAAATACAAAAAATATAAAATAAATATAAAATATTAAAATATATAAATATAAAATATATTGATATATAAATATAAAATAAATACTTAAGAAAATACACCCATATTTTTACTTTTTTAAAATAAAAATATTTGTCAACCAGATCTTTTCCAGGTGTTAACATCCAACTCTTTTTCCATGTTGGCCCAGATTTCTCTGCAGATACGACAAATATTCTGGATCTCAAACGACCTCAATGACAGTAAACAGGAAGCCAGAAAAGGAACGTAAGCTCTAGCTTGCTTTCTAGTAGGTTCTTTACCCCTTCCTTTCTACCTCAGCATTTGAATCACTGTTTCACACGGTCCATCAAGATGACTGGTATTAATATCACCCATATATATTTATCTTAAACCTCCCTGTTATTACTAAATGTACTAAATGATATTTTGTTGAATTTAGAATACCTTAAAGAATAATGTCAAACCCAGTATATTCATTTCTGCTATACACTTCTCAAGAAACTTAATGGGAAAAAAAATCCCAATATTCCTTTGCCCTTAAATGCATAGGTAATTTCCTAAAATGGGAAATGAATCAGATTTAGGTCTTTCATGCTGAGGATTACACTGAATTATATTAAAATATAACAAAGACAAACTGCTTAGAAACTCTTCAAATGTATTCTGGGAACATGATTTATAAAACTGTCATTTTCCAGTAAGAACACATAATGCTAATATATTATATTACAAAATTCCATGAAGGCATAACAAAATAAAGATTCTAACTAAAAATGTCTAGCTTGGTGTGCCTGGGTGGCTCAGTGGGTTAAAGCCTCTGCCGTCGGCTCAGGTCATGATCCCAGGGTCCTGGGATCGAGCCCCGCATCGTGGCTTTCTGCTCAGCGGGGAGTCTGCTTCCTCCTCTCTCTCTGGCTGCCTCTCTGACTACTTATGATCTCTGTCAAATAAATAAATAAAATCTTTAAAAAAAAAATGTCTAGCTTGGTCAGCATTTGTAGGTATGTGACTATAAACTTCGTGAAGGAGAAGCCATGTCTGTGTTTTTCACCACTGTATTCTCTGGTACACAGCATTCTCTAAATATTTGTCAAATCAACGACTATGAATCTGGGTCCAAAGCAAACTTCAGAAGTCACACTTACGTCTGCAGTGCATTATTTTTTGCATTAATAAGGCTCTCGTCTTGTATCTTGTCAAGTATTAACAAGGCACATTTTTCATGACCCTAATGAAGAAAAAAAATGGTAAGAAACACGGGACAGAAACAGAGAAAAGCTCCTGAAAAATTACTTCATTGTGCTTTAAATTTAAAATGAACATCATTTGCCTAAAACATTTTATAAGGCAACTTTCTGAGTAATTCCTTTTTCTTCTAAAAAGCAAACGGTTAAAGGACCCTAGACTCTCAAAGATTCTGGGTAAGGTCTTAGGACTTGAATAATGTAAACCTGATCTAAAATATTAACATTGTGGGGCACCTGGGTGGCTCAGTCGGTTAAGCGGCTGCCTTCCACTCAGGGCATGATCCCAGAGTCCTGGGATCGAGGCCCACATAGGGCTTCCTGCTGGGCGGGAAGCCTGCTTCTCCCTCTCCCACTCCCCCTGCTTGTGTTCCCTCTCTCACATTCTGTCTCTCTATCAGATAAATAAAATGAAATCTTTAAAAAAATATATATTAATATTTCAAAGATAACTGCAGCAGTAATGTTGAGAGAGCTGAGGCAGAAGCTAGCTCAGCAAAGCCAACTGGCAAACAGAGAGCAGAATTAGAAGCAGCCTTTTAAATCCATCGACACTACATTTTAAACATATGTCAAGTCCCATCTCCTTCCTCAAGCCTTCACTGACCACTTCAGGGACCCATCTACCCTTGAAATTTCCATGACGTCTGTTATCAGTATCACTTATCACTATGTACTGCCTCATGCTGGGAAGGGACTTTCAGGAAAGCTCCTTCTTTTCTTCCTCTATCGGGGCAAGATACCTGCTTGTATCTTAAAGGAGATGGTTGATAATTAAAAAAAAAAAAAAAAATTAACTGGAAAGTCTAGAGACCCTTCCACGATTTCAGGTCTATGCCCTCATTTCCTAAACCCTTGATCCTCAAAGTGTGGCCCACAGACCAGCAACCTGGGAGTTAGAAACGTTGAACCTCAGGCCCCACTCTAGACCTGCATTTTGACAAGAGCCTCTGGTGATTCATTTTGCATAATCAAGTTTGAAGAGCACTGAACTTCTCTTCCTGAAAACACTACACTTTGAAATAAACTTCATGAAATGGAGCCCTTTCTGGGGTTTCCACGGGCTTCCCGGAGCAAGAAGTGAGAAAGTACAATGGCTGAAAGGAACGGCCAAAGCATCCGGTACCACAGAGGATGCCTTTAACACCATTACCATGTTGAAGTCAACCACCACCACTGGTGTTAACTACAGTCACACACTATAATGCCTTATAAGGGAGCCCCAGAAACGCGATTTCAGAAATGTCCGTGGAGTTGTCATTCTCACGCGCTGCTGGTGGAGGGTAAATGGTTGTGATCTTATGAGAGTACATCTGGGCTGAAAAATCTTCACAGCTTTAGGCTCAACGGTTTTACATTTAGGATCTATCTTAAAGGAACGAGTAAGAATTCTTAAAAAAAAATTCTCTATAATTAGCACCACCTATAGTAGCATAGGTTTGAAAACAAGCAAATGTCTAACTATTGAGGATGGCTGGAATAAAGGATGGCACATTCTTAAGGTAGAATACCATACATTTTCTAAAACATGATACAATTTGATATCTAAAAGAAAGATATTCATGGGGTGTGTGGGGGACTCTCGGTTAAGCATCGAACTCTTGATTTCGGCTCAGGTCATGATCTCATGGGCTTCAGCAGGGGGTCTGCTTCAAGATTCTCTCCCTTTGCCCTTCCCCCCACTCTCTCTGTCTCTCTAAAATAAATAAGTCTTTAAAAAAAGATTCATAAGATACAATTCAGGAACAAAAGCAGGTTTTAAGGTTTTAAAACATGATCTTGCTTTTGTAAAATTGTGTATATTTATATACCATTTATCTTTTACAGAAGCAGGAATCTTGAGCTACATGTGAACACAATGCTGTTAAAAAAAGAAAAACAAAAAACCTCGAACACATTCCTTGCATTGAACTATGAACCAGGAAAAAGGGCAAAGGGTAGAAATGCACACGAACGCACTTATTTGCCTCCAAGGAGAGTATTTTTGGGGCTGTGTTATAAATTACAATATCTTCAAAGGGAACAAAATGAAAACAAGTGGACCTGGTTGTATTTAAGAAGCCACATAACTAAGGTCCTAACCTGTGTTTAAACCCAAGTTGATGTGGTACTACACCCCCTAGAGACAGAGGGAGTGACAGCATCAGGAGACAGACTGCATAAGAATGGAGGTGGCCAATGCCCTGGAAAGCCTATCCTCGTCAACCCCTCTGTGGGTCTGCCCTGTGGCTTCTTCCCCTCCCATTCTGCTGACAGTTGACAACACCCTGAGAAAATGCACATCTTAATTAAGAGCCATGATACACACTTCTGAGATAGCATTTAAGTGGTTTAGCGGTATGAGTATGATTACAACAGGAAGTAACACTGTTTCAAATTCATTTACATACTTTGCTACTAGCCAAATGTAAGGGTGTGTTCAAGTCTTTATCCTTTACAGTCAGATCAGCCAGGGCACTGTTCACCAAAATATCTACAGAAAAAGCCAAAAGAGAGTTACTTTGGCGACATGCTAATTACAATAACACATTCAAATTAGTATGGACACATCATCATAGTTAATGTTTTTAAAGAAAAAAAGGAAAAATTTATTGCCCTACTGTTCTGTTGGAAATCCAAGGTCTACGGACATTCATTGTAATCATCTTTGTAGCTTTGTTATTTCCAGGTAAAATAATTCTGTTGCTGTATTTGGTCTCTCAATGTTGAGATCTTTTATTGCTCAAAGACAAGGTCCACCAATCATCAAATAACAGGGGACTGAAGACAATTAGCAAGCAGAATCGAGTGGCTTAAATAAAACGTTGGCCTTTTTTACATGCATATACCAAGACACTAACTGATTTCTCGGTTTTACAAAGTTACTGCGGTTGGGTTGGGCATGAGCACGAAGCCCGCCAGCCGAGCACATACCCACAGCGCCCGCCTGCCCGTTCTCGGCCGCCATCATCAGTGCTGTTTTCCCTGAATTGTCCGCTGCGTTCACTTCAGCATTGTGTCTCAGAAGAAGCTGCAAGCACTCCACGTGGTCAGCAAATGCCGCCGCATGCAGGGGTGTCCTAATGATGGAAAACAAATAGGATTCTAGCTTCCTTTAAACGTAACACTCTCTCTGTATATGCCTGAGAAACATGGGCACAGTGTCATCCCAGGGACTTAAAACTTCTCAGTTTACAGAAATAACAATTAGGTCTTCTCTAAAGTCCATTCTGGGTGGACACTGAACAGTCACCTATGTGAATGGCGCCCCCTAGATTTGGAGGGTGGCAGTGGCAGCCCTGATAATAAAATCAGCATCTTTACTGACCCTTTGATGTTGAGTTCCAGTGACTTCTCATTTTTGATAAAGATACTTTCAGATTTGGAGTGCCTGGCTGGCTCAGTCAGTCGAGTACGTGGCTCTTGAACTTGGGGTCGTGAGTTCGAGCCCCACACTGGGTGTAGAGATTACTTAAAAAGGATACTTTCAAAAATTGAGCCTTAAATTTGCAGATAATTGGGTATTTAAATAATAAAAAAGTCCCCATTATCTAATATGGAGAGTTGATTTTTCTAAGAGCACAAATTATATTATTTATCAAAATTAAAAATTAAATCTAAAACTTCATCTCCTAGACATACTTGGTCATGTGAACAGACACATAAAATACTAGGCTGTTTCATAGTAAAATATTAGAAACAGTAAAATATTAGAAACAATTAAATGTTCTTCAATAGAAGGCAGGCTGAGTAAATGTCCATTCAATGAAGTGATATCCAGCTTTAAAAAGAATATGATAAATCTATATATTCTGGTATGAAAATTCTCCAAGATACACTAAAAGCAGAGCACTGCAACAGAATTCTCCTATTTGCATAAAAAGAACATGGGCATATATTTTCATATATGGTTGTAGCTATGTACAGAAAATATTGGAGAGAATATAAAAATTTTAAAAGAATAGTTTAAGGTAGTTTTCTAGATGGAAGAAAAGACTAAGAGTAATTTCTCCTAGTTATATATTCTTTATTATATTTAATTTTTAAAAGCCATGCTTTTAGAGGTGCCTGGCTGGTTCACGAGGTAGAGCATGTGACTCTTGATCTCAGGGTTGTAAGTGTGAGCCCCATGTTGGATACAGAGATTACGGAAACAAAATAATTTTAAAAAAAGATAAATAAAAACCATGCTTTTATGTTACTTTTTCAGTTAAAAAATAACAAGTGTCGGCTACTTTGCAACCACGAAGCAGAGACTAGGACTGATCAGGACAGGAGGCTGCGCCTTGGGGTCACTTACCTGCCTTTGTCATCTCTGCAGCCGACAATGCCGGCATCTATGGCCCCGAGTAGCAACGACGCACAATTCTCATGATCGTTTATTCTAAAATGAAAATAGATTTTACACTAAAAAATTTAACATTTAAAAAAGATTATATGTCCCCTCCTACTCCATCGTCCCGTGCACCGTATATTTAACAATCAGACACATTAAAAAATGTCTGGTGCAAATCCCTGTGCTTTCTGTTCTGTTCAAATAATTCAAGGAGACAATTTAGGTCCTACAGATAAGCTTCACTTAACACTTCCTGAGGCAGGCAGTCTCACTCTCGAGAGTCCATCTGAACCATTTTAGTGACGAGGTGGGATTTGAAGTTGACTCCTCACAGCCTACAGGAGCGGACACCGAGACAAGGCACCTGCCGAACCCTCTGAGTCCACTGTTCCTCTTGCGGCCAAGGGCTAAGGGTGGGTCACTCTTGGATTTGAGGTCTGCCTCCTTGTGTGTAAGTCTCTAAACCAAACAAATTTTATCCAAAACTTTTTAAGGGAAAGTTCCCAGAAAGATTCTGTGATGCAGGAAAGGCTCTGGGACAGCTAGAGCGGGAATCCACAACAGTAGCAGACTACCAGGGACCTTTAGGTCAGCCCACAGCCTAAGCCACTGGGAGATTTGTGGAAATAAATGAAGACAAAACTGCAGACTGCTTTGACCCATAGCACATTAATGTCTATGTAGGGAAGAGCTGAACTCTTAAAAGCCATTAGGGTGTCCACCGTGGTAAAGAAAGCTTGTGAAGAGTAACCGATCTATAGTTCTTGAGAACCTTAGAAGGCAAAGCCACAAAATGGATGGGCGTGGGTTGAGCACTTAAAAGCCGTTAGAGTGCTCACCACATACATCTAAGACTCCCACCACAGGATAAGTCAGTTATGGAACAGGTTAGACTGACAGTGGGTCACTCGCCAACCTCAAGAAAACTTCCATGCAACAAGGTACACCGAATCCCAACACCACTCAGATCCCAAACCCGGTGGCACATCTCTTTCAGGTATTAATTTGGCTCCAAGAGACTCAAGGATTTGCTAAAAAAACGAGATCCTCGAGTTTCAGAGAACAGAGCATTCTGCCTCCCAGAACCCTTGCTTATTTTATGTCCACAAACCGTGGCTGCCATAGATATCTACAAAAATGGCAAAATCTTACTTACACGACCCAGAACTACAATGAGCAGCACGGGGAATATTCCCGTTAGATAATATCTTTCATCTAAGAACTACCCTTCAAAGCAAGGGTTCCCAAATCAACAAGCAGAATGGGATACGTATTGTAGCTGATATGCAGAAGCTTCCAAAACAGCTTCTCTGAAAGATCCACTGCCAAGGCTAATGAAAAACTAAAGACGCAAGAGGTACCTCAAACAAAGAGTGTAAGACTGAAATGACTCCTGCTGCTGCCCTCTTATCCTTCTTTACCTCAGTGCTCACAGTCTATGAATTCTCGATCTGAATTTCCACTGCAAAGGGGCGACAGGGTCAGGAACAAGTCTTTGCAAAGTTAGTGGCTTCATTGCTGCAATTGCTCCAAGGCCAGAAACCCCACACCACACCCGGGCTTCCCGCACTGCACCATCATCAAAACATCGACTCAGAAACTGGTGTCTCATTTGCAATCCATCAGGACACTGGAAGAAAGAGTGTCCTAAAGGTTTTGTGCAAATCCTCTGATAGCGGCTCAAATGCCCCCACATATACCCTCAAAGGAGGGCCCCTGCAAGGACCCCTTCTGGTGTTGACGAGACACCAAACAATTCTCCAATCAACTGCTACCAGTTATTCTAACAATCAAGGGGAAGTAAAATTAAAATTAATAGGAAAATCTTGCCAAATTCTGGTAGATGCCAGGACAATACTCTCTACTTTAAACGCCACTGACTCCAGAGCCTGCAGATGGGACCTGGGAAAACCAGCAGGGTTGGGCAAATGGTGAGAATTCTCACCAGATTCAGCTTTCCTGGTCTCTCTGGCGGCTGGTCAAGGGGGAAGGTATAATTTCGTGTTGTCCCTTCTTTTCCAAATTCAGACTCTTGTTTATTTGGTTTTGAGAGACCCATTGGTTACTGATCCTTTCCTCTTCCAGGGACTGCTATGGCCTTGTTTGTCCTAAATCCTTCTTTCTTTTGACTTTCTTGGGGAGCTAGCTCCGGATTTTGGGAAAGTAGTATCTTTTGCACCATCTTTGAGGGGATCTTGCATTCATGGGTTGTTCAGTAATGCCAGGAATAGTTATTGTTCATCCTGGCTGAAACCGGGCAAGACACTGAAATGCCTTTTTTTTTTTCTTCTTTTTTTAAAGTAGCTTTACAGTTGGTCAGAAGTTGGCCAAATAGGCAGCTGGTATTCAGAGTCTAATTGTGACTTTCTTTAGGCCTTCTCCGTAAGCTAAAATGAGGCTATGTATGGGGTGAGGGGTAGGGACTGGGGGGCATTCCAAAGACAAACAGCACTAAATCTAGAACGAAGGAATCGTTTGTTTTCTACCTCAGTTGAAGGAAGATCTTCTCCTTGATACAAAGAAGAAAATTAAAGAGAATGTAGTTGGATGAACAGGTCAGGCCCCCTTTCTTTGAGGAATTAAAATCAACTCTCTTTGCCTTACAAATTGAGTTTTTAAAGAACAGAAAAATCTTGATTATCCTTTTTTCCAATCCTCAAACCTCTCTTACTCATCTCAAACAGCTTGTAAGTATCGGAAAATCCCTCTTGGAGGATCTTGCTTTCTTTCCCTGTGCCTTTGAGCTCTACCTGGTCTTCCCCAGGAACTCGTATCCAGGCCCTCTCTTTGAAATGCACATTTCAGGGAGATAACTGCTATCAGAAAAAAGAAGGAAAAAAATAAAGGGTATTTGGAAACTGGGGAAATAAAAAATCTTAAGTCTTGATGGGCACTGAGTGATGTATGGAATTATTGAATCGCTATATTGTACACATGAAATGAATATAACACTGTATGTTAACTAACTGGCATATGAATAAAAACTTAAGGGCACCTGGCTGGCTCAGTCAGTAGAGCATGCCACTCTTGATCTCAGGGTCTTGAGTTCAAGCCCCACACTAGGCACAGAATTTACTTTAAATAAAAACTTAAAAAAAACCCCAAAAAACCCAACACTATGTATTAACTATATTGGAATTTAAAAAAAAATTTTTAAATCTCAAGTTTTCTCAATATTAGTAGAAAGTTTAAGCCATCTGAGCAGATAACCTTAATCTATTCCATTTGCTAGAAACACAATCTGGATCTGTGTTTTTGTTGTTCTGTTTTTTAAATAAACTAGTTAAGTTTTGCATTATCATACCTGCTTAAAGCCTAAAATTTAAAAACAAAAGTTACGTAAGACTGATGATTCACAGACCTATACCCCTGAAACAAATAATATATTATATGTGAATAAAGAAAGGAAAAAAGAAAAAAAGTTATTAAGATTTCTGTTCGTGTCCATCTATACGTGTATGTATGTCTATGTATGTACATTACGTTGTTTTCTATCTCCAGATGGTATTGTCAAAATTAAGTCGTAAAGAGCTCTATTTAATTGGCTTAAAGAACATTAAGCACGTGGGGTGCCTGTCAGTTAAGCGGCTGACTCTTGGTTTCGGCTCAGGTCATGATCTCAGGGTTGTGAGACTGAGCCCCTGTGTGGGGCTCCACTGGGTATGGGGCTTACTTAAGATTCTCTCTCTCCCTCTCCCTGTGCCCCCCAATAAATAAAAATAAAATAAGATAATAATAAAAAGAGCACTTACATAAGTCATATATATTTTCAGAAATATAGAAACTGAGTTTCTATGTTTGAGTTAAATGTTTTTCAGGTTCAAATGATCTGGGTTAATCTTTGGTAAACAAGGACTAGTTTTACGTTAGTTGGTTCCATTAAAACGGGCATGTATTCAGAGTTATTAGCACTTATAATGCAGAAATAAAACTTTTATTCTACCTAGGTTTACTAAAGGTCAAGTAAGCTCATGTTATCACTGTTACAGAATTTGTCGATCAGAAAGATAATTTAAAATGATGGTTAGCTGTTTAATATCTCAGAGTTTTCATGAGTGATCTAAACATAATTATTAAGAACAAGTAAATTAAATAGATATAAGTAAGGTAAAAATTTATAAGTAAACTTTTGACAACAATTATGCTTTATGGTATGTATACTTAAAAATAGTTTCCAAAATGTTTTTGGTAATGGGAAACCTCAGTTAAACTGAGCTACTTTAAATGATGCATATTCATTGACTCCTGGATCATTTCCAATTAATATAAAACTCTGAAACATTATCACTGAACATAGATTTATCCACTTTTGGCTTCCTTTGACAGAGGAACTACAGATATTTGGCTCCATTAGTAAACTTGTTCTGTACCACACTGAAATATGTATCATGAAGAGGAAGGTACTCATAGGAATTAGGAAGTTTATTTATGAGTTTGCCAATCCATAGCATGCTAACGGGACTGACAATCCACTAGTGCTTACCTCTTAGTTTTCACCAGTCATTAAGGATTCTAGGGGTTAAAAATTTTAATCAATTAAAACTATTTAGAAATAATAAGGGTAAAAGAAAATAATTTTAAGAAAAATAGATAATAAAAGTAGAATGTATTTTTTTTTGGATAAGGAAAGGTATGAAAGACATGGTTTTTGTTTATTTATTTATTTATTTATTTTGGTAAGAAAAAAGAGAAAGTAATTTTGTCTTAAAGTAAAATGACTATTTGTTGTTTTTTTTCTGGAATGAGAAAGAGAGGGAAAACTTAGGACAAAATCTGAATGGATATAAAAGCTCTATGGAATGGATGTAAAACTCTGTGGAAAAGAAATCTTGGAAAAGGAATTCTCTGTGGTCAAGCTGGCTAAGATTGGAATGGATTTACTTAAGTTTAAAAAAATGAGTTTTAATATCAAAAGTACACTAGCGCAAAATTAGAATTTGGTTTTCTCTCTGTTAAAGGAACAAAGGGTTTTTTTCCCCTAGATTATTGATCTGCTCTTAATAAGAAAATGTAAGTAAAGTTTTTTTGTTGTTTTTTTAACCTCTTTTTAAAAAAATATTTTAAAAATTTATTTATGTGACAGATTGAGATCACAAGTAGGCAGCGAGGAAGAGAGAGAGAGGAGGAATCAGGCTCCCCACTGAGCAGAGAGCCCCATGCGGGACTCAATCCCAGGACCCCGGGATCATGACCTGAGCCAAAGGCAGAGGCTTTAACCCACTGAGCCACCCAGGTGCCCCTTTTATTAACCTCTTAAGTAACCCTCCTGAAAAGCAGAGATTCTGTGTCTTACCAAAATAATTCACTGTGCTTTAGGCTATCTTGATCAATCGTTAATTTATTTTTATAAATTATTTTTATTTTTTATTTATAGTTTATATTTATTTTTATATTATAAATAAAAATATTTATATATTTATTTATATTTTATTTATAAATTTTAATTTATCCTTAATTACTTAAGAAAACCCAGTCTTCTTGGGGTGCCTGGGTGGCTCAGTGGGTTAAAGTCTCTGCCTTCGGCTCAGGTCATGATCTCAGAGTCATGGGATCGAGTCCCGCATCGGGCTCTCTGCTCAGCGGGGAGCCTGCTTCCCTCTCTCTCTATCTCTGCCTGCCTCTCTGCCTACCTGTGATCTCTGTCTGTCAAATAAATAAATGAAATCTTAAAAAAAAAAAAAAAAAAAGAAATCCCAGTCTTCTTAACACTAGAAGAGGTATGGAGGTTTTTGGTTTGTTTTTGAGCCACTACCTAACTTTCTCTATTTATCTTTAACGTCCGTAGCTGTATCACTTCAGTGGAATGGTTAACTAAGACTGTTGCACAGTGACCTATGATCCTATTTGACTAAGTATTTTAAAATCTTTTGATATTTTTGACAAGTAAATAAATGCATAAGTTGATCAACAGGACAACCGGCTTCAAGAAGTGTCCTCTCTCTGGGATTATTTTTAACTTCTGCAATTCTAGTTGGTTTGGTTCATGGGAACCCTGGGTCAGGCATGCCCTGCAAACATTAGGAATACTTTTACTATTAATAATTATCTTCCTGGTCTGTTCTCTCAAGGGTTCTGGATGAGTGGATGCAGCCATAAGCCAGGTAACATATGGTTTCCCTCCAACTAGAATGAAAACCCGACATCGTCTCCCATGAACTAGAGACTGGGACCCAAAGAGACAACGGTAGCTGAGAATAACTTGCAACATCACCTTTGCCCAAACCTCTTGGTTGACCAGAGGTTGATCAAAGTGGGGAGGAAGAACTGCCAACTGATCCCACATGAACCTACTCAGTAGGCTGGGCACCACTGATCCTGGGAAACAACATCAGCAAAAAACCCCTTACCTTTCAGGTTTCATGTTCTTGTAAATGTTCCATCTTTCCAGAGGTCAGACCATCTAGTTAACTCATGAATAATTACCAAGTGATATGGGTGATGGCCCCATTCCTCCAAGACCTCAAATAAGGCCAGATATGTAACCCTAGTAATCAGGTATTTCTACTCCTTCTCTTCCCTGTTTCCTGTTATTTTGTGGAAACTTCCGGTTTTCTGCCTCACTCTGCAGTTCTCTGATCTCTTGCAAGTGGAAACTGTCTGCTTCATGAAGTGTAAAATAAAGTTTGTATCACTTGAAATGTCTTCTTTAATCATCTGAATAGTTCTAACGGCACACATACTGGAACCCCAGCATTTCTTCAGAACCCCTACATCCAGGAAGGAGTTTACCACACACCACTTATGCAAGGGATCATGTTAGATTTTTGGGGGGTACCAAAGTGACAAAGACATGGTTCCTTTGGGTTTAAAATCACCCCTACCCTTTATTCCTTACTTTCTTGATTCATCCGCTTTATGCCTGCAGTATCTTTCAATCAAATGATCAGCGGCATGTGAAGCCCGCAGACCATGCAAAGACGAAGCAGGCCCCAGGAAACCACGTTCCCCCAGGCCTACCACGGAAGTCTGCCCTGAAGTCACTGTACACACTAAACGATGGTTCATACCATGAGATGGCAGCAAAAAGTGCATTTATCAAAAAAGAACTTATAACGTAGGAAGAATGGAGAATTACAATATACAAAAAGTCTTCCTGGCATAAAATGTCTTCTAATCATCCATAGGTATATTGCTGTTAACCCCAACTTGTGTTTAGAATTTGGTACACAAATGTGTGTCACCTCTGGAGAGCTCCCCACCTGGGGCGCAATGTGCCTCTTAGTCACCTAGAACCCTTCATGTAGTTTCTCTCAGGTGACATGTGACCCGCCTGGGAACCTGGGCACTCCACAAAGAGCTCCTGGAAAATCATTAACGCTCAGGACCACACTTTGCTATCAGACCCATTTGCCTTTAGCAGCAAAGTGGAATATATTGGTCTTACCTATAGCCTAAAAGCCTGTCCCTTCCCAGAGAAGCAACCTCTCTGTATATAGTTAAAAGGATTAAACCAACACCATCGAGTCCCATCATTTCTACTTACATTGCACAGTGCAGTGGAGTGAAGGGATTACCGATAAATTTGCGAAAACATTTTTGCTCCAGAAGTACCTCTATACAGTTTTCATTACCTGCAAGGAATCAACAGAATTTAGAGAGCTTCCAAGAAAGAAATTTTGTTCAACACAGTCTATTTTTGTTGCTGTTGTTAAGTACTGAATTCTGGCTTACGAATTTCCCTGAATTGGCTGAATAGTCATTCTCCACGGAATAAAGAAAATGCCACAATGTCATTAACTATGCTCACAGGTGTTCGGAGACATAATGAAACAGGGAAGGCCATATGTTCTAGAGAGAGAAAGAGATAAAGAAGGGACCTCATTTGCAAGTAGAATAGATTCGATGTCATTCTCAGCTCTCAAGAGAGAGATGCCTGACATAGGTATGCCTCAGTTTGCCCATGTTTACAACAGGAAATTCTCCTTTCACCCACATGAATGGGTTCACTTACAATTCTGCTACCTAATTCAGGAAAGAAGATGTGATTGATAGAAAACGGCATTTGAGGCAACGCTGGTGAAAGGGCTTTGACTACAAAATACGATGGAAGGGTTTAAAATGGCACCAAGACCAATTCCTGGCAAACAGAATGCACCCAATAAGTATTTTTTTAATAAGTAGAGTAATGAATGTGAGGGATTATTTTCAACAAAATGACAATAGCTTCTAAATCAACTGATTTTGAGTTGAGTAAGGCCCCAGTTTTGTCCGCTTACTTGTTACATGACTTAGGCAACCCACTTGGATCTGTAAGTCTCAGTTTCTCATGTCACAGGATGATGGAGTTTTTGGTTGATAAAAGACCTAACTGTGGTTTGTGAGACAATGTGCCTTGAGCAAGAGGAGCAAGAAGGCGATGCTGTTTGGCTTTGGAATACTGATTATTGTCCTGAACCTCTTCTTGGCTGAATTTAGCGCTAAATTAGAGTTCACTTATGATCTATCCCAGAATTATGTAGATTGGATAATTTTAAGTGTTAAAATACAAGTCACACCTTTCTTGAACCTGTAGAGAAGAAAGCTGAAACTGCTTTTAGGAGGATGGAGAGGCATATGAAGTAATGAATATAAAATCCTCTAACTTGATTCAAGTTACACTGTTTAGCTTTCCAACTACATCCAACCCTCACTCAAATAGTCCCAAACACTTCAACCCCTCTAGGAGTATGAATCCCCCACAAAGGACCTCTCTTAGGGCAGCATCTAAACCTACCATTCCTTGGAGACCATTATGAATCCTAACCTAAGGTCTATGTAGGGTGGACTGGGGACACTTGCACAAATGTCGATATTCAAAGTGCTCAGTGGAAGGGATCTGGGAAGATGGGAGCTTGAACACTAGATCTAAAAGACTGTACTGGGAAGGAGATTGCTTGGGAAAGGACAGATCCTCCTTCCCTGTAACCTGAAGTGGCCTAAGAATAGAGAGACCTGCTCTCCCCACCCCACCCGGCTCTGGGGGAGAGGATGTGGTCTGTAATCAGCACTCTTAATGTGTCTTCCCCTTCCGGTAGGTTTTCTAGTGCTAGAGAGCTCTCACAGCTTGACTCAGATGGTGGTTAGGGAGCTCTCATCCATTAGTAAGTGGGAAAAAAATCATAATCTGCCAACAGCTGAACAGGAGAAAACTTGCTCTCACTGAAAAAAGGAGGACTATAATGAAAGCATAATGAGAGGTCTGACGTCAATATATGAGAGCACCCCAAAAACCTTTTTGGTCCTAATAATCAGAGTTTCTGAGTGAAAATTTTAATAGAAGAATTGAAAATGGAAAAATAAAATTATAGAAACCAAGTAAGAAGTATTTGGGAAATTATCCACATAAAATTTGGGGGGGGGTTTCTTAAACAAGATTGGAAACCTTTGTGCAACAAAAGAAAAAATTTGACAGATTCAACTAATAAAAGTTCAAAATCTCTGCATGGAAAAGGGTTTCATAAACAAGGAACAAAGACAAATGATAGACAGAGAGAAAACATTTGCAGCATACATAACAAGTGGGGGGTTCCTATTTCTAAGACAAGGTACTTCTACAAACATATGAGAAATGATGAACTCAATAGGAAAAAAATGGGCAACAGATGAAAAAGGCATGTCCAGAAGAGGAAAAGGAAATTCAAATACATAAATAAATACACTATCAGAAAAATGCAATTTGAAATAATGAGGTGCCTGTTTCTTATCCTTCAAATTGACAAAAATTTTAAAAAAGATGATATTGTCTTGAGCTGGCAAAGGCTTAAGAAAGTAGTAAGTTTTATATACATGTCTGATGGAGTAATGCACTTTGATACTCTTTTTGAAAAGCAATATGGTATAATTCACTAAAATTAAAAAATATACATGCTCTCTTACCAATAATTTCACTTTTGGAAACTTAACTGACAGAATTTCCGGTACCATAATACGAACACACATACTGAAGCATTGTTTGTAATCAGAAAAAACCTGAAAACAATCTGAATGCTCATCAACAAGGATCTGGTATGAATAAACAATAAATTCTGGTATACACACTCACATGTGTGTCTACATATCCCGCTGCACACTATAAAATAGACAACCATGAAAAAGACCCACATATACTGATACATACCGATCTGTGAGAATATCTCCAGTAGAAACTTACGTAAACAGTAACAAAAAAGAAAGTTATCTAATATTTGTGACATGAATCTAGTTTTCAAAAACAGATGCATATACAATTTGTATTTATTTATTATTCTCAAAGGAAAATTACAAAAGATACCTACAGAATTACATCAGAAGGTAAATTTGGAAATGGAGACAACTTTAGGTACCTCAGTATTTCCGATATGTTCCAATTAGTATGCATTTTCCTTTTTTACTCAAATATATGAAACGAGAAATTTAAAATCTCCCAAACAACAAGTGCAATTAAATAAACAGGGGATATAGGACATAAAAAGAAATGCTGAAAAGAAAAATCATGTGTATACTAGTAGGCAACTGTAACAGATTATTACATCAATTTTTTTGTTTGTTTTTAGCTGTATTATTTTAATTCCTTGTAGGTGCTCTCGTTTACCTGGGTAAACTAGAAACCCTGATTAAAATTAGTTACTTCAGCTCACGGAGGTTCTGAGTGGGAGTTACATATTGTGATTAACAAAAATAGGGCATCATGGTGGTCATGAAGGGAAAAGCTCAAAAAAGAAAAAAGGTATCACAGGTTCAGAAAGATCGGAAACCATGGTTTAGGACGTTACAGTACATTCTCACCTCTGCTGAGACCACAGCCGTGCCGGGTAAGGAATCTACTGGAATCAGTCAAAGGGCAATGCACTCACCATTGTAACAAGCCCAGTGCAGCGGCGTGTAGCCTTGGTTGTCTTTGAAAGAACAGTCCTCCTCGGACAGTGCCATCTGGAGCAGCTCGCTCAGCCACGTGGCGTGGCCGCGAGCAGCCGCGTAGTGCAGCGGGGTCCTTCCTCTGGAGTCTTTACACAGAATCGACACTTCTTGCTCCAGCAGCATTTGCACACATTCCTCGTGGCCTGTCATAATCTGATGCATCGCAACAAAAAACACAAGACACATTTCAGAAGGGCAGAGATGCAGGAAGCGAGGCGGTGACTACATGAGGCTCGGTTCCCAGTGAGCAGACAGACGCCTGGGCCTTACTGGGGATACATCAGAGGACAGAGGGGGACAACCCCAGCAAGATTCATGACAGAGAAGTCTGCGAACACACCAGCATCTTAGCAACATCTCTAGACTCTCTGAACATAAACTTGAAGGGTCTCATGCTAGAGCAGAAAATACCGGCTTTTCGAATCAGGAAGGTACAGGTGGAGCCCCAGCTTCCCGCTTGTAAACCCTGGGCACATCCATCTGCCTGTCTGTGCCTCACTTCCTCTACCTGTAAGTGGGAACAGCAACAACGACTCGCAGGTTGTAATGAGACAGTAAAGTCTCCCAGCCTGTGGCTCCGCCCACAGGAAGTTGTCAACGATGATTAGGACATTGACCGCTTAGTGTTTGTCTTTTCATTCATCATAGTGTTCGGCACCATTCCCAAGCAGCAACTTTATGATTTCTGTTTTTGTTTCATTTAGTTTGGCATGTTTTAGAAAAATTTCAGCAGATATGTATGGAACATCATCCACAGTATACATATTTCGGGTGGTGAATGGGTCAACATTTGCAATAAGGAACAATTAGAAATAACGTGGCCACTGAAAACTAGGTAATCATCAGAATAAATTACACCTCCTCCACACAATGGGAGATTAGAATAACGGGGCAGAAAAATATTTAGTGACATGGAAAAAGGTCCCTGATTTACTTTGAGAAAAAAAAGCAGGTTCCAAATAGCATCTTCAGTATTCTCTCTTTCTAAATTCAAAACAAACCCCTATACAGCAAAAAGGACTGGTGATACATGCACCAAAATGTAGTTATCTCCAGAGGGTAAGATTACCAGTGATTATGACTTTCTTCTTTGAGCCTTTTTTTTTTTTTTTTGTAAATTTTCTAGGATGTGTGCATAATCAAATACCAGAACCAATCCCACCAACAGTGGGTGTTTGTGTATCCATTATCACAATCTAACATGAACTCTGAAAAGCAGGACCTAGGAGTAGCTGTTATTTTACCTTTGCAGAAGGTTTTGTAATCTTTCTTTCTTTCTTTGTCATGTCTGTACTCGATGTGGGTCTTCAACTCGTGACCCGGAGATCAAGAGTTGCATGTTCTACCAACTGGCTGAGATTAAGTACTTATCTTAGGGAACAACCTTTTTACTAAAGCTTCATATGGGGGAAAAGAAGGAAACGGGCTCACTGCAAAATTACTTCACTAAAGCCGAGGAAAGGCACGTACCCCTCTGTGTAAAGCTGTGCAGCCCATGAGGTCAACAGCATCTACATTGGCTTCTTTTTCAAGTAACAGTGAAACAGCATCAATGTGTCCATATGCCACAGCAAGCATCAGTGGGGTTCTAGGTAGAGAAATCAACCAGGCAGGAAGATCAGGGAAAGCGAACAAACAAAAACCCATCCCTTACTTCCAGAGGGAGGACCCCTCTCTCTTCACTTTCTCTCTCCTCTTAACAATTGCTTAATATTTTCTGAGTGTCCCCAGTTCACTCCACGCTGCAGGGAGCAAGCTATCCCAGTCCCTGCTCTGTAAAGGCCGCCTGGAATGGTGTTGGGGTCCAGGTGGAACAGGGGAAGGTTCCTTCTCAAACTGCTCATGTTAATCCCAACATTTTCAAAACTGTGTGGCATTCTCCAAATAATCACTGAGCAGGGAGTGTGTCTACACGGGAGACTCTCTTGCTCCTATCATATCAAGTTTCTACCTTGAACTTCTGCTTAAGATTTTACTTCATCAAAGCTTCCTTGCCATGAAGAACAGCCTGACAAGTCCAGAGGGGAAAAAAAACAGTGTCGGGACCCGGGAGGTGAGGTTCTCGTTTTAACTCTGACTCTAATTCACACCTCTGGGGTGAGTCACTCTGTGCTTTGTTTTTGGCGCCACAATTCCGAAAGACTGGATGGGGGGATGGGCTAACAGATGGAAAATACTTTGGAAAAACAAACTAAGAAATGATAAAAATATGAAGTTTCTTTTTTTTATGATAGAGATAACCTCTTGAGGTCTGTCCTACTGTCATCATTAGTTTAAAAAAATGGGAATGCCACAGCTTCAGAAGAGGGTAAAAATGGATACAAAGAAGAAACGAAAGCAGGGCCAGGACTCAAGGTCACAGACATGAAAAGTTGGCTCCTTGTCATCAAGATACACCCCTCTCCATTCTTTCCTTGGCTATACACTCCAGCGCAAAGCCCCCTCATTGTTCTAGGGCTCTCAACTACGAATTTCCCCCAAACATACACCTCAAACTAGAATTCAGCGTCCACCTGCCTAGCTGTCTAACAAACATGACCCATGACCCGTTGGGACTGAACTGCCACCCCCAGGCCGGGATAAAGAACACTCACTGTCCTTTGGCGTCTTTCACGTCAATGGCTTCTGGGTTGTCCGCAATTTCTAGTAAGAGCCGCAAACACAGTGTGTGACCGTTAATTACTGAAAAAGAAAAGAGCGGACATTCCTCTTAACAGACTAGCACCACACACATCCCTCCAAAGCGAAGTTTATCTGGACTTCAGGTTAGTCGTTTCAGTTGCCGCTGCCAGCGCTCCCCAGGCTCCCCGGCAGGTGGCGCCCCAGCGTCTGTCACTCGGTTCTTCCGCCCCGTCCTTCCCATCGGGCACTTCGGTCCTCCCCCAGCTTCTTCCTGTTCCTGTGCTGAGACCTTGTTCCGGAAAACCGATGTCCTCTCTCACCTCCTCGTATGGGACTGATGACCTCTCCCGAACGTTCGGCTTTCCGTCGTGTTCCCCCAAGAGAATCACCCAATTCCTTATAACCCCGTGTCCAGCCTGCCTCCCGCCCTGTTTAAGAAGAAGGAATGGAGAAGAGGAGCAGAATAGGATGGGAGGAGAGGAGCAAGGGAGACGCGGAACGGGTCCTGCCGTCTTTCCCTCCCAGTCGCTTCACATGTGGAGGCAGACGTGGAAGCAATCATTCTGACTGAGGAGGGGTGACGTGCACAAAGCTTCCCACAGGGCCCGTGTACGCAGGCTCTGGCTCACCGCTCCTGGACTGGCCAGCGGCTTGCAGGAGACTCACAGATGTGCCCCCGCAGCTGCCAGACAGCTCTGCCCACGAGCTCCGCAAAACTACAAACCATGGTTTCTCTGCCTCCCGGGGTCTCGCATGGCTGCCACCTCCCGTCCCCTCTGGCCCCTCCGTTCTGTCCCTGGTCAAGCTGTGACTCCCGTGCCCACCTCACCCCTTCCCAGGCGCTGCCCCATCCTCCCCTCGCCCCTTCCCACCCTAGTGGGGGCTGCCCGCAGGCAGGAAAGCGGGCCCCAATGTTGGCCTTGAACTGCTGGGGTCAAATACAAGGTTGTGCCCCCCGCGCACCAGGCGAGATGCTACTTTGGGGAGTGGTGGTGTCTCCAGAGCAGGGAAGCGAGCCTCCCGGGATGATAACCCGCTGGGCTAAGGTATTTCCTCCAGCTTGTTGAATGGAACCCACAGCCTTACAGAAAACATGGCTTTCCACTGAGGGAGTAGGACGAGAACAAATATACTTAAAATTCCCAACGTGAACGTCTCTCCTTTCTGAACAATGTGAACACCATAAAACGTGCTGCTTTTACCCCACGATGGCTGTGGAGAGGGAAGGGAACAGCTGCAGCTACGTTCGGCTGATGAAGGTTCTTCTTCTAAGAGCTGCGTTTCAACATTTTTGATTGCCCGCCCGGTCGTGAGAGAATGCTAACTGAACAACGACATGTCTGCCAGGGACAATGCACATTAGAATGAGTTCTCAGTCATCGACACAACTCAAATGAACGGCAGGAATAATGCCCACATTGTGGAGACCACGGCGCTCAGCTCGTTTAGCAGTGTTCTGGTTATGTGTCTCAGGAGGACATTTTGTGAACCGGGGTACAGGCAACACACTGCTGTTGCTGCTGTTTTGTTTTTTCGTTTGAAAAATTACACTAAATCTATTGCCACTGGTAAAATATGCAAGAATTCAATGGATGCTTAAAAGGACATGATGGGCAGAGGACTGAGAGCTGAACAGTACAGACAGTGGGGCCATGAGAATGCAGGTCTGGTGTGTTTTCATGGATTTCTCTTCCCATATCAATTTGATATTCTTGAAATACTCATAATCATAATAGTTCCAAAGATGTTTGGTTGTTGGCTACACAGAAAAAGAGAAGAAAATCATCTAGGAATGCTGGAGAACAAACCCATTTCTAAGGTGGTTTTTGTTTTGTTTCGTTGTTTTGTGGGCAGGGTGTGGGGTTCCAGAACAGTAGGCTTTGGAACTTAGCTCATAGCCCTCAGGTAATTTTTTTTTTTTTAAGATTTAATTAATTTATTTGACAGAGAGAGATCACCAGTAGGCAGAGAGGCAGGCAGGGAGAGAGGGGGAAGCAGGCTTCCCGCTGAGCAGAGAGCCGGATGCAGGGCTCGATCCCAGGACCCTGAGATCATGACCTGAGCTGAAGGCAGAGGCTTTAACCCACTGAGCCACCCAGACACCCTGAATTTTCATTCCTCTCTACTATAAAAGTGTAGCAACACTAGAATTCTCATTCGCTTCCCACACATGTTTTCCCCTAGTTGCCTTCTAGCGAAAAGACGCTAGCATCTCCTTGGGCTGTGCCCTGTGCACTCCAGCTTTGTCTCAGACCAGCCTGGTCTCTCCCCAGCGTGAGTGACAGCCATTTCTCATGTTGCTCACAGGCCACAACTGTCACTGCAAATCTCTGTGCCAAAACTCTACTCTCCATCCCGGCTCCGGGCCCTCCCAGTACTCCCAGGATTTAAAACAATCAAACTGCCTCTCAAATTGGAAAAGATTCTGGAAGCGCAAGCTAAAGCTTCTGCACAGCAGACATTTTGTGGAGAATTGAGTCAAAGGACAGCCCTAGCGTCTCTAATGAATGACGTGAGGGAAATCCAAGAGGAGTGAGTCGTCTTGACCACCAGGGGGCTCCATTGGCCCACAACCCGTGTCACGGTGGCAAATGAACGTCAACGATCATCCTTCATTGTTTACCGGTTTAGAAGGACAATATTCCACCATGGAAATAGGCCTTTTGTAACTGGCAGGAAATACTGTACATTGTAGCTAAAGGAGAATGTTTCCCATAATAATATACAATTAATCTTTAAGGAGAACTAAATTTGAACTTTATAATAATACCAAGAATGCCCTGAACACCAAACTTCACAATGATACTTTATAATAATATCAAGAATACCAAAGCACAAAGTGTGATGGGAAATGAGAATTCATAGTTTAACCTTACCAACCATTACTGACCTCATGGCTCAAGTTTTTTCCAGGAATAATCATTTCCAAGTAATTAGGCAACACCATGTTTTTTCAGTCTCTATATTGCTTTTCTTCAGTGGTTTGGAAATTCAAGGATATATATGGGAATAGTTTCACAAGACCTAACTTTTTTTTCCAAGTAACAAGAATCAAGTAACAAGTCTTTTCGAAAAACTGTCTCTGCTCCTTTGTTCCCCAATCCACCCATTATTCCATGGTCTGAATAAGATAGTTATTTCTCTTTATGAGACAGGATCTACCGTCCCGATCAAAGGCTGATATCATTGAATTCCTGACCCAAAAGGAATTCATGCCTTCGCTGAGCTACAGATTCTCCCACGTTACCTTTATATCTGTGTAAACATCCAGAAATGTCTTGATGGAATTTTATTTTATGTCTACTGGAGAAGAGTCCCAGAAAAGGCAAATTACTTACTTTTTGATATATACATATACTTTAAAGAGTCTCTATTGTTACACATGATGCGTCAAGAATCAGCACCAGAGCGAAAGCTAAGAAGCATCATTTAGACTGGCAGAATGATGTACCGATTAGATTGCTGTCTGATGACTTTTTATGAAATAGCTGTGAAAAAAATTGTTGATTTTTTGCTATAAAATGCTGTGTGATTTTGTCTTTGTAACTCATTTGAAGATCACATTACACGCTGTTTCCTGTTTAGCAAGTTTTGGGATAGCCACTGGTCAAAATTCTGAACTCTCTTCTGAGTTAAGAAGGCAAGATAGGGTGCAGAGGATTTTTAGGGCAGTGTTTCTAGTATCTTCCTTTTTATGATACCATAATGCTGGATCTATGTCATCATACATTTGTCCAAATTCACAGAAGGGAGAGCACCAAGAACGGACCCTAATGCAAACTGAGGACTTTGGATGATTAGGATGGGTCCCTGGAGATTTAGCAATTGTAATGAATGAAACACTCTGGGGAGGGTTACTGGTAATGGGGAAGTCCGCGCGTGTGTGTGGGTCGGGGGTGGAGGGAGACAGGAAATATATAGAACATCTCTGTACCTTCCTCTCAGTTTTGCTGTGAACCTAAAACTGTTCCAAAAGAAGAAAGCTAGAGCCTCTCTGGCTAGAGAACACTAATCTTCTTCAAGTGGATAGTTGGGCCAAAAGCATTTTGGAAGAGTGTAGGCAGAGTTAATATGGAAAGAAAACTGAAATTTTATAAAAGTGGGGATGAAAGGAAATGCTGCCATCCTTTTCCTTCGACTTGCAACCAGACTCCTGACAGGACCCACCTGAGGCATGGAGTGGGGTTCTTTTGGTTACATTGTCTTTCACAAAGATGGACGCGCCCTGATTGATAAGTGCTTCCACACACTCTGTGTGTCCCTTAAAGGCAGCCAGGTCCAGAGCGGTGCGGCCTTTCTCATCCCTGATGTCCAGGTCCACCAACGACTGCAGAAGGACTTCCAAGGCTTGGTGGTGCCCATTGTAGGCCTGCAAGGAAGAAACTGACCGCTGAAATGCTTGCTCACCCCAAATCCCACAACCACCCACGTGAGGGGCTAAGCCTCCTGGGTCACCGCTGGAGACCGCTCCAAGGAGCACACCAGAAAGATGCTGGGGATAATTATTGAAACAGACAAACCGGAACATCAGACTGAAAAATTATAATGCATAAGCCTCAGGCTACATATGAATTTCTGCAAGTTCTTTCTTGTTTGTGAAATAATATGTTCCAAAGGTACTAAATGTATTCTTGTATTTATATCTACCCATCTAATAATCTAACACAGACTAGCAGCTGAATGAATTAATATAATCTTCTATCAGTTCAGTCCCAAACATACTGACACAATCAAAATTATTTTGGGGGAGACTTCTCTGTTAAACCTAGAGGGGGGGAAATTATTAAAGACAACATGGACTTGATAATTTATCAGAAGCATAGAGATCTGTTACAGTCTAACATTTTAGTTTCTAAGCACGGGACCCCGGGCAAGTTTCTTAATTTCACTTAGAGTTTGTTTTCTCATCTATAAAATGAGAGCAATAAAAGCTGCCTCCCAGGAAAGATAAAAAAAGATAAATTCACAAGGTTTTCCATAATATCTTGTGCACAGTGGATGCTTCCTCCTTTCTCCTTTTACTTCTGCCATTGATTATCGTGAAAACACAGACACAATTACGGAAATACATTCCCATGTACCAGCAGCAAGTTCAGGCCTATGATGAGGTCCTATGCTATGTTAGGTCAAGAGGCTTCCCACTACCAAGACACAAAATCGAAAGATTGAGAGAATTTGCATTAAGTCTATAAAGTTAAAAAATGTATATGCACACACAGGGCAAATAAATAAAAAAAAAAGAAGAGGGATAAGGATAGGATGGGGGACTAAGGAGGGAGAAGGAAGTAAAGAAGGAGACACAGAGAAGATCTGCCCCCAGTGTCCTCGCCAGCCAGGGTCCCCTCTTCTGTCGGCTGCACTTTTCCCTTCCGCACTACAGCGGTTACTCAAGGCGCAGCGTGTTTGAAAAGAAGCTTAGCGCAGACAAAAGAACAATATCTCTCATACACAAAAAGCTCTTACGAACCATTTCAAAACTTCGGAAAATGTACAAAAGGGCATGAAAAGACAGCTCACAGAACAAGAAATAGGAAAGGCCAATGAACATATGGAGGAAACACATACATTTTTTAAGGTGCTATTTTTCAACTACCAGACTGACAATGATTACATTTGGTCACGTCCAGTACTAGTTAAGACATGGTAAAATAAAAGCAGGGGCACGGGGGCACCTGGGTAGCTTAGAGGGTTAAGTCTCTGCCTTCGGCTCAGGTCATGATCTCAGGGTCCTGAGATCAAGCCCCACATCAGGCTCTCTACTCAAAGGGGAGCCTGCTTACCTCCCTCTCTCTCTGCCTGCCTCTCTGCCTACTCGTGATCTCTCTCTCTCTGTCAAATAAATAAATCTTAAAAAAAAAAAAAAAAGCAGGGGCATGTGGGTGGCTCAGTCGGTTAAGGATCTGCCTTGGGCTCAGGTCATGATCTCAGCGTCCTGGGATGAAGCCGCCTTGGTCTCCCTGCTCCTCCTACCTACCCCCTACTCCCTGCTCATGTGCTCTCTCTCTCAAATAAATAAATAAAATCTAAAAAAAAAAAAAACATGATGAAAAAAACAATCTATGCTCTGTTGCTAGTGTATGCTGTGACATTTGTAGAGAGTGATTTGACAAAATCTATTGAAACCTTTTTGAAAAACTAAGCTGCAGACAGTATGTATAACATGACCTCATTTATATAAAAAGCAAATACACCCAGATATATACCTATCTATATGTATGTATATTTCTGTATTCATAGAAAATTTCAGAATATAAAACAAAGAAGGTTATGGACACTGGGGAGGGTATGTGCTATGGTGAGTGCTGTGAAGTGTGTAAGCCTGATGATTCACAGACCTGTACCCCTGGGGCTAATAATACATTATATATTAATTTAAAAAATTAATTAAAAAAATAAACTGTTAATGGTGGATACCTCTATAAATGGAAGATAAAGTCACAAATATATGGACTTGTTTCATTTTACTTTTTTAAAAAATCATTTGAATTTTTCCCCTAAGTATATGTTAACAACAATTATATCCAAAACTAAATAAAAAAGGATCCATAGAATTTTAAGAGTCCTGATAGGAATTGTTTGAATACTTTCTCTTGACATTATTTTTATGAATGATTACGGTTATTATATATTATGTAGTAAACATATACGTTACCTATAATATGATGTATAACAATTCACAGGCTGATGAATCTCAAATTTATTTCCCATTCGTAACGTCTCCTTTTACTTCTCGACTTGTATATTCAACTGCCCATTGATATTTCCACTTGCAGATATGCCTCTCAAGCTTAACACGTCCCAAACCAAATTCTTAATTTCCTTCCTCAAACTTGGTCCATCTGTAGCCTCTTCCAACACAGGAAGTGGCAAGGCTCCGCTTGTTGCTGCCCAGGCCCCAAGCTCTGGAGTCATCTGTATCTTCCCTCTTCAGCCCAGAGTCGTAGCCCTATACGAGGGCTCTGGGACACTAGGGCAAGGAGGTGTTGAAAATAGCCTTGGGCTCCCCATGCTAGCTTTGCCGGGCCCTGTACAGGGGTGTGTTTGCTGAAAGGAAGGGATCCCTTTTGCTAACCACACAGAGGTGTCTCCAGGTTCTCAGGCCCTAGGCAGGAAAACATTTACCTCTGCATCCCTGTTCTAATTCACACAGGTGTAGCACACAGCCTCACACAGCCCTCAACGCGCCATCATCTTTACTCTTTCTTTGAAACATATCCAGAATCGACCCAGTTCTCATCATAGCGCTGTCCTCTTTTGCCGGGATCATGGCGAGGGCCTTCCTTTCCATCCTCGCCCTGTGCCACCTTTACTCATTCAGCCTCCAGGTGAGAGCTCTTAAAACCCAAGTTGGACATATCAGTCCTTGATGAAAACTAGTCAGTGGCTTCTTACCTCCTTGATAATAAAATCCAAAACCATTGAGCCCTTAGGATTAGGCCTCCTTCAACCCAGAGGCCTCACCTACTCTGTCCAACCACACCAACCCCTTCTCCTACCCCATGGTTAAATACATGCATTTCCTCCTCCCGGCTACCGCATCTTTTTTCTTTTCTTTCTTTTGCTTTTCTTTTCTTTTCCTTCATTTCTCCTTTCTTTGTTCCTTCCTTCCTTCCTTTTTTTAAAGCTTATTTATTATTATTATTATTTTTAGTAAGTTCTACACCCAACGTGGGGCTCAAACTCACGACCCCAAGATTAAGAGTCTCATGCTCGTCCGACTGAGCCAGCCAGGCGCCCTGTATCTGTACTTTCTATTACCTGTCTGAAAAGCTCTTCCAATGCTCTCCTGGTACTTCTGCTTCAAATATCACCTTCTCTGCACGTTCTCCCAAGCCAAAAAAACAGCCCTCTGCCCTCCACCTCAACGTATTACCAGACACTCTCGTCCTGACTTATCCTGCTTTATTTTATCTTTATAGAACTTATTACCACTTGATATCTGCTACTCATCTGTTGCTTTGCTTATTATCTCTGGTTGAAGGCACTTCATGTGTATTTCTCACTGCTGGTCCTAATCACTCCTGGCACGGACACCAGGTGGGTGCAGACACTTGATTATTTGGTGATTAATGACTTAATGGAATGGCCATTATTATAATTTATTAGTATTAGTAGTAGAAATATAGATACACATTTTAGACACATATTTTTTAAGTAGCAGCTATTTACCTACCCAAACATTCTTTTTATCAATGAAAAAAACAAAACAAGCACCGTTAATTAATTGAGCCAAGATCACCTAATAGGTGACCATGTTTGAATTTGAAACCCAGAATCTGTGGCCAATAAAATCTAGGCTGTTAGGCAATGTCTTATAATTTTCCCAGTGATTTCACTTAAGTGACTTTTAAACAAAATACCTTTGTCTCCAACAGATTTTGAATCAAAAACCTAGACCCCCTCCCTCCCACCCAGAAGGAGGCTTAACACAGAGATAAAAGTGACTTAAACAGAAGTAGGAGGCAAAAAGGTATACACTGGGGTTAGCTTTTAGACTACTGTTCTTCCACTACACAAACTGCCTTCCTTGATACAGGAAAACAAATTCCTCTGTGTCCACCTTTCTGATCTACACTTGCTGTGCAAACCATAACTGTAAGATTGTAAGCCTTCAGTGTGACCTAAAATTTGTAGCAATAGCTAAATCTACTGAGCCCTTCCTGTGTGTCAGGCAGTCCTGGACATGAGACACCTCATTTAATTGCCACAACAACCCATAATTTGGATACTAGTGTTATCCCCACTTTACCGATCAGGACACAGAAGGGCAGAGACATCACCTAGTCTTTCCATGGTCACTCAGCCTTACATGAGGGCGCTGAAGTTCAAAGACAGACCAATCAGACCCCAGAGCCTGACTGTGGGCTTTTCATGAGCTCCTACAGAAAGGGTACAACAAGACTAAAAGGAATATGTTCCTTTACCTCTTGACTATACGAAATTTCAAACTTGTACAAGTAGAAAAGGAGAACGTAATGAGTTTCTACATACCCACCAACCAGTTTCAGCCATTATCAACTGACCATAGGTGATCTGAAGCCCACTTGGGAGGACCTATCCTCCAGTAAAAAGCAGTGGTGCTAGGAGGGTCTACATCAGGGTGTAAATCAGTCTATCTCACTTTCCTCTGGGCTTATCTGTGACTTATTTGAAAACTGACTTTGCAAAAAACAGTTCTCATTTTAAAGTCTCATGGCAGCAACCGATTCAGCGGATGTGGAAATCCCGACTTCACATCAAAGGGAAATGAATTCCCCGGAGAGAGCAGCAGGGTCTGGACGTCCTCTGCAAATGCTGGTTCCTTCGGTGCCAGTGACTACTATGACCAAGACAGTCAACATGTTCATTCCCATCAGTATAACTTAGCCTAGGAAAATAGAATCAGCAACTCATAAATGGTATGTGTACCTACAAAACATGATGGCTAACATGTTCAGATTTAAAAAAGAGAAGACACAGGGGAACAAGAAATGGACGTAGGAAGGAAGGCAGTGTGAAGGAATGAGCTCTGCTCCGAACAGCAGAGTCACGTTACAAGGCACTTAAGTTAGGTACTAAACTTGTCCCTACACTTTCTCCTTTAATCCTCACCACAAAAAATACATCCATCAGCCTGTGTTAAATTTAGAGGCTTAATTAAAAAAAAAAAAAAAAAAAAAAGAGTGACCCTGCTGGTGATTAGGAAAGATTCACAATTCTATCCCATCCTTTCTTCTATATCAGGCACTTGAAAGTCTCTTAAAGACAGAATGGTTGAAAGGCCAGGTTTACCCATAGAGTTCCTTTCATTTCTCAGCCCTAGTCTAGCTTGAATTTTAGCACGCAAAAGCATGACCCCACAGAACTGAAGACATAAAACTACGTGCACTCAACTTTAAGGGCAATTTAAGGGAAATAATGAAAGTAACTTTGATTAGACAAGAACTTTCACTTACTGCCACACTTTAGAGCTCAACTCTGTAGACAAAGGACCATGCAATATGAAATTCTAGTTAGGGTTAAATGCATGATTCTGTCTTTGGGCAGGTATATGGTTCTTGGAGTATACATAAAAGTATACAATGAAGCTTTAAACTCTTTGAGGAGGCTCAGGTAGGCAGGAAAGGAGACCTTTCTCATGTCAGCAGTACATGATGAAAATTGCCCTATTTCTCTTTCTATTTCTATCCTAAACTAGCTAATTAATAGGTAGTTTCACCAATAATTTCTGAAATAACGAAATGAGGAGGTAATCACAGAAAAGAACAAACATGCTCATTCAAAAAGCATGGAATAGTTTGGCTTTCAATAGACGAGCCAGTTCAAACCTTCATAGAGGTAAGCAATCAAATATTTTAACTTTGCTTTCCTGAAAAATCTTTCTTAAAAAAATATATTGTTAGGTAACTTAAATATGTCTTAAATACAATTAATTCTTTGGACTTTTCAGATAGGAACGGAGGGCAATGAGGAGAAAGAATCTGGGATCTCACCAGAGTCCACAAAACAATGGGTCCATCTGGAATCTTGACAGCTGGACCCTTTCATTTGCATAACCTTGCTTCTTGATTTAATTTTTTCAAGTGGAGGAAATGTTTATGAAATTCGCTGGGTTGATAACCCTGGAGACTTGAATCACTCAGCCAGGAAATGGTAACTCAAGGCAGGTCAGGTTTCTTGTGTGCAGTCAAGGTTTGGGGGCATCTGGTTCTATTTCCCTCCTAGAATTCATCCACGGAAGAAATAATGTGCTTTGGGTTTTTATCAAGCTAATTGCCACCAAGGCCCCTGGAGAGGGTGACGGGCATACTTGCAGGGTTCTTGAAGCAAATAATAATTTTTTAAAAGGTGTTAGCATTTAGAGGGCAAGAATAACATAGTTTTAAAATTAATCCACTGCTATCACCCTGGTCAAAGCCATCGCCATCATCATCATCAACATCATCACTTCCTGGTTGCCCTGTTTCTGTGTTTGTTCCCTCACGATGTAAACTCAACACAGAAGCTAAAGTGATCCTTTTCAAACAGAAGTCATCTCATATCATCTGTATCCTCAAATTCCTCCAAATGGTTTTCTAATTTGCTCCGCATAAAAGCTGAAATTCTGGGGCACCTGGGTGTCTCAGGCATTGACTCGTGTCAATTGACTCGTGGACCTCGTGTCACCTCCACAATGGCCCTATGACAGAGGTACTGCAATTCTCCTCATGTCATGGGTGAGGAAACTGAGACAAAAGGGTCAGGTATTTGGTCAAGATACCACAAAAACCAATTAAATAAATTTACAAATTAGGCAGGGTTTGGGGGTCTTTAACTTACTCCTTTTAATTTACAGGTGGGAAAACCATGTCGTGGTGAGTTGTTCACGGGAAGACTGGGGGCTGGGACCTCCTCTCTGAGTGTATTTCCCAGGCACCTGCCAGCAGCAGAAGTGCCAAATGCCCAGTTCTCTCCACTGATAACACGCCACCCTGTCTTTACATGACCAGAAACCCCAGATCTTAGCAGAGCAACTGACACATGGTAAGCACCCAACAATAATTCTCGGGAAAAAATAATGAGAGATGACAGAATTTGGGGGAAGCTAACAAAGTCTCTTCTCAGATTACTAGCAGGTGATCCCACTGATAAAGGGCACGTGAATTCTGTCTGAGATCCCTGAAACAGTCCTCTCTCGAGGCAGCTAATGCTGTATGTGAACCCTCCACTTTGGGGTACCTTCCCCAGGGGCAGAAGATGGTTGTGCAGAGATTCTAGGGAGCAACCTTTAGGGCAACCTGTACTGAGAGCCAAGGGGCATGAAACTTTATACATGCAAATATCCACCATCCATTCGCCTTTCCCACTCTAAGTCCATCTCCGGAACAAAGACGGATGCACATTTTAGCTTAATTTTACTGGACTCAGAATGTGTGTGTGTGTGTGTGTGTGTGTGTGTGTGTGTGTGTGTGGTGGATGTGTTGGTGGGTGTGGCCGACGGTGGTGACTGGGATCAGCAGAGCTGCTGGCGACCATGTGGGGAGACGACCAGCGAAGCCGGGGCTCCGTGCGGTGTGATCAGCTCATCCCAGTCCTGCTGGGGTGGGGTCATGCCCTCCCCTTGCGTGACTACTTACATGTGCCCATTGACAAAACACTCCCCTCTGTTCTACAAAATCTCATCTCAGTTTTTCATCAGAGTGATGCTGAGAAGTGCTAATAGTGGATGATATTAAGTGAACGTCCCAACAGTTCAACTTAGAGACCTGGCCCATTTCCGCTCTTCTTAGAATTCAGCCTCCAGATACGCCCAGACACCATCACTGTGGCCGTGGACTTGAGGCCCCACGTTGCCGCAGCACCTTCTACAGGGGAGCTGCTGTTGCTGGGTGGGGCTGGCCATCCCGGAGGCTTCTAGAGAAGAGCTGGTGATTACTAACTGCTAGCAGGACACCGGCTGAGAGAAAGTGGTGTGTGAGTCTGCTGGCTTTGTCACCCCCGTGGAGAGTTTGGGGATCCTCGCTCTGAGCTGTTGCGTTTCCCTTTGGTCAGGGATGCTAAGAGGAAGCTCTGCTGGTACAGGATCGGTCTTCCTCCCTGCTCTGAGGCCTCAGCCAGTACAAGAATCATCCCTCCCAAAAAACCCTGATTTCAAGCGCAAGCAGGAAAAGTCGAGTTGCATTTATGCGTCTGCTCACCTTGCTCTCACAAGTTTGTGTTTAAATAGCTCACAGTTTTTAATTGTGGAATTTGTTGATTTTGTGGTAGGCTGTAGACTCATGTACTGTTGGCTACAATCAGATCTTTACAGGGTGCCTGGGTGGCTCAGTGGGTTAAGGCCTCTGCCTTCAGCTCAGGTCATGATCCCAAGGTCCTGGGATTGAGCCCTGCATCGGGCTCTCTGCTTGGTGGGGAGCCTGCTTCCTTCTCTCTCTCTGTCTGCCTCTCTGCCTACTTGTGATCTCTGTCTGTCAAATAAATAAATAAAATCTTAAAAAAAAACCAAACACCTGTGTTACAGGTTTAAAAAAAACCCAAAATGTGTTTTTCAAATTTCCTCAATGTTTTAAATTGAGCTATTAGACAGTAATAATTATAAAGACTGTTAAAATGTATAATAATAATTTATTAAGGGGTGCCTGGGTGGCTCAGTGGGTTGAGCCTCTGCCTTTGGCTCGGATCATGATCTCAGGGTCCTGGAATCGAGCCCCACATCGGGGTCTCTGCTCAGTGGGGAGCCTGCTTCCCCCCATCTCTCTGCCTGCCTCTCTGCCTACTTGTGATCTCTGTCTATGAAATAAATAAATGAAATCTTTAAAAAAAATAATAATTTATTAAGTACACTGTGGTAAAGGCTCTAAGAAAATTGTCTCTTTTATTTTGCCATCATTTGACAGTTGGGGAAACTGAGGCCCAGATGGGGTAAGTAATGTGTCTGAGGTCACCAGTGGGTGAAGTTGGGATTGGAATTTGAGTCAGTCTTTCTCTCTGCAGCCTGTGCCTTTACCCATGTACTATTTTCATTATTAGTTCTTACTGTGTTACTATACTATCATTTTAAGAGCAGCCTAGTTCTAGGAACACCTAGATTCCTTTTGTAACAGAGGAAGCCACCCATGGCATCTCACTTACAGCTAAGTGGAGTGGACTCTTGGTAGCACCGGAGTCTGAGTCTTCAAAACCATTGTTTGTTCTTTCTAAAAGCTGTGAAGACAAAAAGAAAATGTGTACGTGAGTAAAATTTGCAGAAGGAATCTGCCTTTATGGATACGAACGTTGACGTCAATGCCAAAGAGGCTTCAATAATGTAAAATACGATGCTTCTTAGCAATATAAGAAACCCGCTGCAGCACCCCTGAAACAAGAAATCGGACATAGCCTATCTAAAACAGATACTCCAACTGAACCTTTCAACTTCTAGATCATCTCAGGATTTGCTGATGAGAAAAAGGCTGTCATACTGAAAGATGCTCAGCCTCACCAATCCAGGAAAATAATTCATGTTTAATCCACTTTTCACCCAGCAGATCATAATACTGAAAAATTTTAATACCTAGTGTGTATTCCATTATCAAACACACATTTACTGGAGATAGTGTTGGAAGAGACATATCAGTCTCCTGTTCTCATGGAGCTTACGTTCTAGGGAGGGAAATCATAGATAAACAAATACAGAAATAAGAAAATATCTGCTAATGACATGACGTGATATGGGATGACTGGGAAGTTACTTAACAGCTGATGATCAGGGAAGTCCTCTCCAAGGAAGTGACAATTAAAGTTAAGACCTAAATAACATGAAGAATTAAACCAAGTAAAAGTGTGGCAGGAGAGTATTCTGGAGGAGGAAGTTGTGGAGAAGGGGGTACAAACGCATCAAGGGGGGGACAAACATGGTGAGTGGAAGGAACAGAAAGGATAGTGTGACCAGGGTATGATGTTGGTGAAGGTATCAGGAAAAAGACATTCTCATGAACTCTCTGAGGGAACAAATTGCTAAAACCTTTCTGGGCAATTTGTGCATAAATTTGGCCCTAGGAATTAATTCCTAATAAATAATTAGACTAGTGCATGATGATGCATGTATAAAGAAAGTTCTTCAATGAATATTTGATGAATGATTACCAATGTACCTAGACACTGAAGATTCAATAATAAATAATATATTAAAATATCCATTTTATTCAGGGGGGAGACAGAGTAGGCAATAAAAGAAAGAAGTTATGCAGTTAATTAGAAAATGGTATGTGCTATGGAGAAAAATAAAACCGGAAAGGAGGGTTCAGAGAGCCAGAGGGGAGGTCAGTTTGCAACTCAACAGGATGATCAGGGAAGGGCTTACTGGCTGAGAAAAGAGCCTTGTGGACATCTGGGGGAGGAGTTTTCCAAGCAGAGAGGCCAGCAACTGCCACGTCTCTATGGAATAGGTGCGCTTAAGAACATCCAGGATGCTGGCGCAGAGTGAGCCAAGACGAGAATGATAGGAAAGGAAACCAGAGGGATGGTGACATGGTGACGGAGGGGGTGGGAGTGTCATCAAGAGCATTCTGGATTGTTCTAAGAATTTTGACTTTTCATCCTGAGACGGAATTTCAGTGTAGTGTTTTTTTTTTAAGATTTTTTAAAGATTTTATTTATTTATTTGCTAAAGAGAGAGAGAGGCAGGAAGAGAGAGACAGGGAAGCGGGCTCCCCACTGAGCAGAAAGCCCGATGCGGGCTTCGATCCCAGGACCCTGGGATTATGACCCGAGCAGAAGGCAGAGGCTTTAACCCACTGAGCCACCCAGGTGCCCCTCAGTGTAGTGTTTTGAGCAGAGGGATGACATGTTCTAACTTTTATGCTCTAGGGAGGGCACTGAGAGAACCTGAGGCAATAGCCCAAGAGAGAAATAACAGTGGCTTAAAGCAGTGGAGAGCAGTGGGGTTGGAGAGAAGTAGTTGGATTGTAGATATTTTAAGAGGTAGAATCAATAGGATTTCCTGATGGATTGATTGAATATGAATGTAAAAAAAAAGATGGAAGTCAAGAATGACTTCTAGGATTTTGTCTTTGCAAATGGAAGGATGGAAATTCCATGAACTGAGATGGAAAAGACCAAAGGTGTAATACATAGTGGGAAAGAATGAAAGTTTGGGTTTGGAAATGGTAAGTGTTTTGGAAATGGTAAGTCTGAGATGTTTTTAAAGTATTCAAAAGTGCATACCAACCAAACAGCTGTTGGGTACATGAGTGTGGAGTTCAGGTATTTAAAGCCACAGGATTAGATGAGATGAGTAAAGTAATCAGTGATGAGAGATGAGGAGAGACTTGGAATGATGACAGGGAGACAGCAGGGAGACAGACTGAGCAGATGAACTAGAAGGAACACCAGGAAGTGTGAGGTCTGGAAACCAAATGAAGAAAGAGTTTCAATGAGATAATGAGTAACCATGTCAGAAGTCTTAAAAGGTCAAGTAAAATGAGCCCTGAGAATTGACCCCTGGGTTGGGCAACACGAGACTATTAGTGACTCTGTGAAGAGCACTTTAACAAAACACTGTTTCTATGAAAAAAAAAATAGAAAAACAGACAGCAACAGAGATGGGTTAAATAAATCGAAGTGGGACAGGGACTTCAGGGGAAAACGGCAGAGTGGGAAGTTTGGAGGCTCACCTCATCCAGATACAACTAGATAACACCCATATCAGTGTAAATAACCCAGAAAACAATCCAAAGATTGGAAGAACAGACTCTCCACAGCTGTGCATAGAGAAGAGACCACATCAAAGAGGGTGGGAAAGGCATAAGTGTGGTTGGGAGCTAAATGGACCTGCAGGACTGCTGGAGGGAGAGAGGAACAATGGGGGCACAGAGAAGGGTGAGAAACACCTTACACCAAGCACCCCAGGCACAGGAGCCTGCACAGGGAAAACAAATCCCCATAACATTTGGCTTTGAAAATAGGGGGGTCTAATTTCTTGAGTTCTTATGATCAGTGGGGCTTACCACCTGGAACTTTAAAATTCAGTGAGCTCAGCTCTAGGAGAGCCAGGAGGGTGACAGGAAGTGGAGTCCTGCCTTTAGAGAGACAGCACAACAAAGAACCCAGAGAGGCAGCACAGAAGCAGCAGTTTAAAAAAATGCCTGGGATATATGCAAAGAAGATTTATTTACTAATCTCACAACATGTGCTAGAGGGGCAGGAATTTTTAGGAGACTATTCTAAGAAAAAAAGAGTTGGCAGGTATCATTATCCTCACTTGTCCCCTAGCTTAGACACACTGACCAACATTTTCCAGCTACCTTGCTAACAGTACCCCTGGCCTAGTGTGCTGCTCCACACCTGCCCCCTTCAATATGTCCTTGGCCGGAGCCCATCCAAATTGGTGTCACAAGCCTGGTGGTGTGCAAGCAGCCCTGACAGGAGGCAGGGCTACATCAGAGTGACTCCTTCCCTGGGGAGAAGGGAGGATAATGACAACACCAGTCTACTGTGGCTCCAGCGCTGGGCTGGGAGCAGACATCAGATCTGACTGTGGGCCCTGCTCACCAACAAAAGCTTCTCAGGAGACAACACAGGGAAAATGCCCTGCAGTTTGGTGGTACTACATCTCTGGCAAATCTTTGGTCTGACCCAACTCAAGCCCAAGTCTGGCTCACTGATAACACAGGGACCAAACCCTACCGCAAAACATGAGAGCTATCAGAAATGACTGCACTGAAGGCAAAAGCAGCCCAATCACAATAGTGGGGTGCACACAACACACATAGGAGATACCCCAAAGCATCAGGTTCTGGTAAACAGGGGATTTTGCACTGCAGGGCGCAATTGGATCTCTTCTTCATCAGGCCACTATTTTCAAGAGCAGAAGATGTAGGGGACTTTCCTAGTACATAGAAACACACACAGGGAGTTAGACAAAAATGAGGAGACAGAAGACTATGTCCCAAATGAAAGAACTGAACAAAATCACAGCAAGGGAGCAAATCCAAATGGAGAGAAGAAATATACTTGATAGAGAATTTAAAGTAATGGTCATAAAGATACTAGACTTGAAAAATGAGTGGAGGAACTCAGTGAGACACTCAACAAAGAGAAAACAAAAAAGAGTCACTTGGATGATGATGAACTCAATAACTGAAATTAAGCATTTCCTAGATGAAATAAATAGTAGACTAAAGGGAGCAGAAGAATAGTCAGTGACCCGGAGGACAGAGTAATGGAAAATAATCGAAGTGAACAGGAGAGAGAATAATAATAAAAAATAAACACAGACTTAAGGAATTCAGTAACATCATCAAGCACGATAGCATTCACATTATAGGAATGCCAGAAGAAGAGATAGGAAAGGGGGCAGAAAATTTATCTGAAGAAATAATGGCTGAAAACTTCCTGAATCTGGGGAAGGAAAAAGAAATCCAGATCCAGGAATCACAAAGATTCCCCAATAAAAATCTACTCAAGGAGGTTCACAGCAAGACACATAGCAATTAAAATAGTGCAAAGTAGTGATAAAAGGATTTTTAAAAGCAACAAGAGAATAGAAAGCAGTTATATAAAAGGGAAGCCCTATTAGTCTATCAGTGGAGTTTTCAGTAGACACTTTGCAGGCCAGAAGGGAATGGTATGATATATTCAAAGTTCTGAAAGAAAAAAAACAAACAAACAGCAACCAAGAATACTCTACCCAGCAAGGCTATCATTCAGAATAGGAGAGATAAAGAGTTGTTTCTCAGACAAACAAAAGTTAAAGGAATTCATCACCACTAAACTAGCCCTTCGAGAAATGTTAAAGGGGACTTTTTTTTTTTTTAGAAGAAAGAGCACACATGTGTGTGCACAAGCAGTGGGGAGGGGCAAAGGGAGAGGGAGAAGAAGAATCCCAAGCAGGTTCCACAGTCAGCACTGAGCCTGACTTGGGGCTCAATCCCACTACCCTGAGCTCACAACCTGAGCCTAAATCAGGAGTCAGTTAACCAACTGAGCCAAGGGCCCAACAGCCCCTAAAGGGACTTTTTGAATGCAAAGGAAAGACCATAAGTAGAAGAAAAGTAGGAGGCACAAAAGCAGTGACTTAGCTACAGTATAAAAATCAGTCAAGGGATTCACAAAATAAAAGGATGTCAGGTATGATACTATATATCTAAAACATGGGGGTGGGAAGGGGAGTAAACAATGGGTTCAAACTTAAGCAGTCCTCAACTTAATATGCACTGCTACAT